AAMCCMARGGSMRGSCYKKTYCAAGAAAARGGGAAAAACTGCACCTGCCCTGTCAGCATAGGGAGGAGGGGATCGGGGCCTGGCACTGGGGAACATATGGGTGCTCCCCCTCATTTTGGGGAGATGCCTCCTGCCCCTCTGGACTGCCAGCAAAGCACCTCAAAAGCCAGTTAGCAAGGTGTACTGCAGTCAAGGGAGACCTGAGAAACYCAGGATGGGCAACTTGGCCACTGTGGACAAATCTGCCCTGGACTGAGAGCATGTGGCCCCCCAGATCCGCTCTCCTAGGGGGTGACCCTGCTACCTGCAGCCACTCCATCCACCTTGCTGTGCTCCCTCTGGCACAAGAGCCATGTGTAGAGAGAAGAGAGGCCAAGAAGAGGGGTGCCAAGAGCTGCAGCCACCCTCCTGCCGGGGGCCAGACTGCCCCAAGGAAGCAGAGAAGGAACAMTGGTCTAGGAAAAAGCCCTGGAGCTGTGGGGACCCTCTGGCACTGGGATGGGCAGTGAACACAGCTGCTCCTGGCTTGGCTTTCACACTCCCTCTTTGGTTCCCACAGTTCCAGCCTGACTTGAGGAGGGTACGGAGGGAAAACTGCTGAGTATCTCTAGTWCATTAGACAGAATTTCCTGACTGGCTCTGAGCTGGAACTCAGAGCTGTCACGCTACGTGCCCCATGGGGAGCGTGTTGGGTCTCCCAGCACCACAAGGTTGGTACAGTATCACTGCCTGGTCCCTGTGGGACAACCTGAAAACGTGACAGCAAGAAAAGGGGGGAGCAGAAAGGRGCACACAGCCAGCTTGGGGTTGGCCAGGAGGAGAAGGATGACCCTGGTGGGCAGCGAAGCTGCAGGCAGCCGGGCCCATCCAATGAGAGCGCGATCGAGCAAAGGAAACTCGGGTAAAATTCTTATTGCCTTTATTCTGCCCATTGCCTCCCACAGTCCTGCGGCCAGCACACACCCACGCACGCATGCACACACTCACGCACACTCAGGCACGCTGGGAGTCTCTCCCTCGGCTCGGAGGAACCGGGCTGCAGTGAATCCTCAGGGAAAGGTGAGTGAGTCTTTTGGCAGCAATCACAGCGTGTGTCAGGAGCGGGCAGCCGCGCCGGCGGCACCTGCTCCTTCTGCATAAAAGAGGAGGCTGGGGGAGCCGCGGCCCCCGGCGCAGCCCCCGGCGCAGCCCCGCTCTCCGGCCCCTCGGGGGGAGCGCGGCTGCTGTCGGTCCGGGGGCGGAGGGTCCCTGTGCAAACGTGCTGACGGCCTCGCTCTGCAGTCCAGAGCTGGCCAGGAGAACCAAGAGGGTAAGAGATGYGGAGCCAGGCACCTGGTCCCCCTCCCTCCCCTTTCTGCTCCCTCTTATCTTTTTTTTAATATATCTCTTTTTTTTTCTTTTTTCTCTTTTTTTTTTTTTGCCTAACTCCCTGCATAGTAAATCGGGTTCGGGTTCTGGCGTGCAAAGCCAAGAAAGGGAGTGAAGCCTTCCCTTTGGACACGTTCCAGTGCAGACCCTTGGGTGGAGGGCTTGCCAGGGCTGGAGGAGAGGAGTGATTGTCTGGGGCTGGTGGCCCCAGCCCCGTCGCCGGCTGGGCCTCCCCCGGCTGCTTCCGTGTGGAGAACACAATTAGGGAAGGCTTCGGACGTGTCTGACGGACTCAGCGGACGGGTCAACAGTCTGTGGCCTCGGGGAGGTGAGGGAAGTGAGGACTGGGGGGAAAACAGGGTGAAAAGAAATCCAAGAAGCAGAACAACTCTTCAAACCGATGAGCACCGAGACAGGGCGGGAAGTGGGATGTGCCATCTCTGTCCCATAATCCATCTTCAATATGAAGACGTGTTGCTGCCTCGCCGTTCCAGGACACGGGACGAAAAGCTGGGCTCCCTCTCAGCGTGAGTGCCTTCGATCCAGGGAAGGGTGTCCCGTCCCATCCCCTCCCAGGCGACCGTCCGAGGCAGAGGAGCGCCATGTGGAGGGGCAAACAGGAAGCTGGGCTGCACCACAAACTGAACCTGGTTGGCAGGTTCCCTTGGTCCGTTCCAATGCAGAGTCCCCTGCGGTCAAACCTGCACTGGGAGCGTCTGGTTCATCTGCAGCCTCATGTCCTGAATGCTGCTCAGGATCTTCTTCTGGTGCCCTGCTAGCGTCACCCCTATCCTCAGCAGGTCCCTGCAAGGARAAGGAGAAGACTCAGCCCCCAGTCACCAGGAACATCAAAATGTGGCCCTGCTCCATAGGGGCAAGGGACCCTGTTCATTGTTACAGCCCTCTGCCAAGCGCCAGTGCTCCCTCTAACACCACAGGGGACTGGATGCTGAATTCTACACCTGAACTCCCTGCTGAATCTCAGTCCCCAATTCAGCCCACCACCCGTCCAGGAGGGAGGAAGTGGCTGTCAGATAGGCAAATGACAGTGTGCAGCAGCCCCAGCCCCAGTCTTCTCCCTCCTCCCYTCCAAGCATGGACTTACTCTGCAGTCATCTGTGCCACCAGGTCAAAGGAGGCAAATCCAGCATTGACAAAGTTCTCCTTGTACCGTCCCATTTTGATGGCATCCAGCCAGTCTCCCACGGTGGTGAAGGTGGTGTAATCTGGGACAGTGCGGTCCAGGAGTGGTTGGGAGATGCTAAAGGGCAAGAGAGCCACAAGTCACCGGGAAGCAAGGGATAGAGATGTGTAACTGGAAGCAGTGGAGATTTTTTTTATCCCTGCCCTCCCACAGCTCTATTCCCAACCAATCCAGTGTTCCCTGGAACTAGGGTTAAGTCCTGGCTAAAAACAGGGATGTCACTAACCCAGACTGGACACTGGCGATGACTTTCAGGCTGGCAGCATTGCGGATGAGCTTGTCCAGCGTGTTGACGATCTGTGCAAATTTGGGCCTCAGGTTGCGGTCCCGCACCCAGCAGTCCAGCATCAGCTGGTGCAGTGCTGTGGGGCAGTCCATGGGGGGTGGCAGGCGGTAATCTTGCTCCACAGCATTGATCACCTGCAGAGAGATGTGCAGAGGCAGGYTGTGAGCCACCTGGGCTCCCACAGGCAGCCTACAGCTCCCAGTTCCCTACTCCCYAGAGARCACTTACATCYTGGTTGGACATGTCCCAGTAGGGTCGCTCCCCATAGGACATCACTTCCCACATGACGATGCCGTAGCTCCACACGTCGCTGGCTGAAGTGAATTTGCGGTAGGCRATGGCCTCAGGAGCCGTCCATCTGATTGGGATCTTGCCCCCCTGCACGGATACACAGCTCCATGATTTAGTGCATACCTGAGGTGTCTCCCCCCACCCCGGATGGGTGGATTCCTCATGAGTATCCCATACCAGGGAGCTGGTGTAGGTGGGGTCAGCCGGGTCATCCTCCAGAAAGCGAGATAGCCCAAAGTCAGACACTTTGCAGACCAAATTGCTGTTGACCAGGATGTTGCGGGCAGCCAGATCCCGATGCACGTAGTTCATCTCCGAAAGGTACTTCATGCCAGCGGCGATGCCTCGCATCATTCCCACCAGCTGGATGACTGTGAACTGCCCATCATTCAACTGCCAGAGGAGAGATCAGAGGGGTTTGCAACACTCTGAACAGATTGAGGATGCATCCCAATGTGCTACCATCACCTTCCTCCTCCCTCTTCTCCCACTCCATGATGTCTGTCAAGAGCTTAACCCAGGGKACACCAGCATGACAATGTAGAGAGATGGAAAAGGCTCAAAGCTGCTGCACCCCCTGCACTGCAGCCCCCAGCCCAGGGCAGGAGGGSACTGATGCTCACCCGGAGGAAGGAGTCAAGCGCGCAGTTCTCCATGAATTCTGTGATGATCATGACRGGGCGGCTCTTGGTCACCACGCCCTCCAGGTGGATGATRTTGGGGTGGTCAAACTGGCCCATGATGCTGGCCTCRCTCAGGAAGTCGCGYCGCTGCCKCTCYGTGTAGCCCACTTTCAGCGTCTTGATGGCCACGAAGATCTCGCGGCGGCCAGGCAGCTTCAGGCGCCCGCGACACACCTCACCGAACTCCCCTGGGGTGGGAAGGAGAGAGGAGGGCAGCATGGTGAGCCACAGGACAGGGTGAGAGGCAGCAGTCTCAGCACCAGCTGTGCCCAGCCCCARGACTTGCCTGCTCCAATGACCTCCTCGATTTTCACACAGGAGATGTCGATCTCTTTGGCGAATTCCCGGACAGCTTCATTGGGATCTTCATAGGTGAAGGGGTCAATGTAGACCTTCATCCCAGGGGTAACTGCAAGGGCAGAAGTCATCACCAGGAGGACACAGCATGGGTGACAGATGCCAAGCCACTTGGCTGTCTGTCAATCCACTCCTTGTTGTCAAAGGCTGCCCCTTTGCACAGGCAGGAGTTGGGAGAGGGCAGGCAGAGTCCATTTGCTGGGCTCTCACACTCACCATATTGCTGCAGCTTCTCCGTGTACTCRGGGTCGGTATTGTTGCGTTGCTTCCTGCCCAAAGGAGACGAGAGGAGGTGTTCAGTAACCATCCCTTTCCTGATGGGGCAAAGACATTCACTGCCAACTTCCAAATCCYAGCACAGACAGCCTATGCCAGAGAGCCTTCCCTCTGGCAGCCTGTGTGCAGAGCCATCATCCCTCCACCCGAGGTGCGATGGGAGGAGATGGCCTAGTTGTGCTGAGCGCATGGCAGGAGCCTGGACAGAGCCCAGCTTGTGCTGGGGAAGCAGCAGCACAGTCCTCCCACAGGACCCCTGCTCTGGGACCCACATGTGGCTGGTCCAGTCCTTTATTCTGTGACTGGAGCTGCCAGGGCTCTGCCCACAGGTGAGGGGAAAAGCTCTGTGGCAGACATGAACAACCCCCAAATCCAGCTCTGAAACCCTCTTCCCTGAAAAGCCAGTACCTGAAGCAGACGATGGCAATCACCACCACCACAATGACGAACACCAGCCCTGCAGTGGCTGAACCCACGATCAGAGGCAGCTCCTGGAAAGTCTTGCTGGTGGAACCTGGATGGAGGGACAGGCAGGAATCAAAGTCAAGCTGGGAAAGGAGCACACAGGGGAGGGCTGGGCAATGGAGGTGATGGAGTACCTACCACCCTCTGCAGTTGTCTGAAACTCCGTGGGGAGGCTGTAGCGGCCGTATCCCGCCACGGTGCGTGCCCGGACCTGCACCATGTACCGGGCATTGGCCTTCAGCCCGTCCAGCCGCACCGAGTTCTTCTGGCTGGTGACTGTGTTGGCRATGCCATCGCTCTGGCCTTGCTGTAGGGAGACATGTGTGTGTCACCTCTGTGAAGCCACCCTGCCATGTGCTGGGTCCCAGACACCGTGTCTGCAGGGACCCCCTTTGCCATGGTGCCGGTGGCCAGCTAGAAGGGTTGGAGGAGGGAAAAGGATGCTCCTGCTTTACCTTCTCTGAGTACTTGATCTCRTAGTCAAGAATGATGCCGTTGGGTCTCTCTGGGGGAGTCCATGACAGTGTCATGCTGTTCCCGGTGCTGCTGTGCAGGTGCATTGTCGGCACGGCAGATGGGGCTGGGAAGGACAGGGGAGGAATGAGCCACCTGTGCCAGGTTCCCCCCTCCACCAACCCACATCAGTGTAGGGGATGCTCTGCCTGCGACCTGCTTGGATAATCTTGGTGGAAAGGTATGGAAAGGCTTTGAGATTGGCCTTCCCCAATTCTCTGTAAGGAGGTGTGATCTCAACACCAAGGGGAGTCTCAGAAATAACACTGAGGTATTGCTTCACCCCATGCCTTGCTGCAAACTGGTCTGGGAAAGGGTCCTGCCAGCCCGAACTGGGGCTCTCTCCCCTCCTCCACTTGCCAGGAGCTATGTGCTCCACCCCAGCAGCAAGACCCGTGAAATCAGATCAGAGCRCAGTGGCTGGAGATTACCAGCACGCTGGAGAGGGGCCAGAGTGGGAGGAAGGAGGGAATGGCAGAGCACTTGGCCGCCTGCGAAGGTTTGGGCTGGTGCTGAGCCTTTCCAGGGACACAGGAGAGAAATCTCATTTCCTTCCTCCTCCCTTCGCAGCAGGCACAGCATCTCTGGGGTAGGTCTAGGAGATCCAGAGCTCTCTGGAGCATCTGCCAGCCCTATTCTTCACTCGCATGTATTCTGATCTCATCTCCTCTGGGGACATGCTTTAAACAGAGAGGACAATTTACCCAGGGGATTAGATACGGGCCCAGAGAGCCAGTTAGGCAGCACCACAAAGGACTGCAGCCTCCCAGGCTGTCAGAAAGCAATCTCTGTTCCACTCTGCTGTGCGGTGCAGATCCAGCCCCYGCTCCCTGACGGCTCCACTGACCTGCCTGGTTGGTGGTGATGTTGACAGAGGCGAAATGGGGAGGGAAGGGACTCTTGTTGGAGATGCCRTTCACGGCCTGGATCTCGAAGGTGTACTGGGTGTGGGCCATCAGGTTGCTGATGTAGATGCGTCGCTCGGTGAGGCCGAGCTGGCGCGGCACGAACTCCACGTTGTCGTCGCAGCGGGTGCACAGGCGCCGCTCCACGCTGCACTTCTTGCAGATGACGTTGTAGAGCAGGTCATCCCGCCCGCCCGTGTCCTGCGGCTCRCTCCACTCCAGCACCAGCGACGTCTCGTTCACGTTGGAGATGACATTGCGGGGGGCTGAGGGGACGCCTGCAGGGGAAATGTGAGGGTCAGGGATGGTGTGTCCTCATGTCCAGCTCGCCCCTGGCGTGGGCACAGCACACACCCTCACCCCAGACACGGACCCCCATCATCTCCACAGCTTCCCTTGCCTCCCCTCCTTGCCCAGGGCAGGACTCACTGGTGCAGGCACTGTCTGCAGAGTCTGTGTCTGCCCGGAAAAAGCCATTTCGACAAGTGCAGACCATTGCTGCTCCAGAGGTGGTCCGGCTGTTGGGAGGGCAGGGAGAGCAGGGACCTTCCCCCTGCTTAGACTTGAAGGTTCCTGGGCCGCATGCTGGAGGAAAAAAAAAACAGACCTGAGTTATACAGTGAACCTGGAAAACATTCATCACTCCCACCATGGCTGGGCAGACCCTTCCTCCCTGCCCTGCCACATCTTTGATCAGTGGTTTGAAGACCTCAGGCCTCCTATAAGCCTTTCCACCACCATCAGCCATGCCCAGGGATGCAGTGCTCCTGGCTGGGCAGCATGTGAAGAGTGGGCTCCTGGAAGCACCGGCCAGCCCAGGCACAGCTCTGCCAGGAAATGTTGTGCTACAGCAGCAGGCCTGAGGTAATTGAAGGTGGGAAGAGTTGGTCACCACCAGCAGTACTGGGGGTAGGGCAGGTCAATCCAGGAGGTCCATTAGTCAGGTTTGTTCCTTTGCTGCCCTTCCCAAGGGTTTTATCATGCTCTCTTCCACAGAAGAAGGCCATGTTATGTTGTTTTCCAGGCCTGGCAATCTTCATAGTGGTCCATCCTCTGGGKAAATAAGGCTGGGAAGAAAAGAATTCCTCAGCCTTGCCTGCGGCAGCCCTGCAAGAGGCCTCCACCACCCAAAATCAGCCACTCAGCCCCAAACCTTCCGCCTCAGGCTCTTCAGCCACTTKTGAGTCCCGGGGCGGTGGCACCTCACGAGGTCGGCTCAAGTGGAGTGCTGAGCGAGATGAAAACATTCCTGCAGGTCCTTGGCTAAAGAGCTGCTTCAGCATCACTGCCACCTCCCTCCTCCGCTTCCGATCAGGGTCCTTCAAGGAGCCGCAAGTCCTGGGATATGGCCCGATCGGCACCACAAGGTGTTTATTTGTAATGAGGGGCACGTGAAAGGATTAACAGCACTTGAGCTGAGGAGCAGAGCGGTCTCAGGAACCTGACACACACATCAAAATAGCTCAATTTATCACGGTGCTGCCCAAGGAAGCGGATTCTGTGCTCTGTGTTTGCAACCAGATGAGGTGAGAGAGCCACTGGCGCCAGCTCTGCTTCAGCATCACCCTGTTTGCTGCAGTTGGGGCAGCATCAGCACCGATGGCCCCGAAGGAGGGCACGTCCTCCTCGTTCTGCCAGGTTAGGGAAGCTCCYAGGGCACATAACCCTCCCACCTCCCACGCCTGTCACACATCATCCTGAAAACAGGGGGAGGCTTCCTGGTGCTTCACCAAGCTGTGGCAAGTGGAAGTTTCCTGCTATGAGGCATCTCCCGACACCCTGTGTGGAAGTTTTCCKGCTGGTTGCAGCCCCACATGGGGCGTGGAGCTTGTGAGTCACACGCTGCCGGGCCAGCCCCGCAGGGACCCGCACACAGCTCCTGTGCTGTCCTGGGCCCCTGTTTGTCCAGGCACCGGGCAGCAGCAACCCAAGGGAGAAGCCCTGCTCCAGCACTGTGCTGCTGGCCAGGGGAATGTGAGAGCAGCCCTTGCATGCTCTCCAGCCCCACTGCCCAGATGGGTGTCAGGAGCTGCTTCCTGCTCCCACGGTGTGAGCCTTCTGGCGAGGAGACTCTTCTTTGGTCAAAACAGGACCGACTGCATGGCTTGGCTGACTCCAGTTCCTTGACCYGAGTTCACCCAGCCTCTGGGCCTTCCCTTTGGAAATGAAAGCTTAGCCTGTCCGGACTGTGCAGGCTGGAGGGCAAAGGAGTGTGAAAATCTGCTCCTTGGTGAGCAATGGGAGGCCAGCAGGTCCAGGGCTTCTGTCTCCCCATCCTAGGACCTCTAGGCCACCAGAAAATGTGTCTTTATGTGCACAGCAGAGGCCCAGAGGTCGCAGAACAGCCTCGGCACAGGCAGACCCACCCCAGCTGGAGTTCCGGGCGGTTCAAACTGGGTGGATGCAGATTCACACATAAGGAACCAGATTGTTGAGGAATGAGAGATGACTGAAACCTCTTGGACAGGAATGCTCTGGGCTCAGAAAGCTGCCAAACATGCTTTGGTTATGGAGAGGAGCCCAGATCCATCAGGGACAAAACCCCCTGAACAGGCTTGTTGGGGGGAGAGTGGAGCCAGAGCAACCAGAGCTTGTATGAAGCTGACAGCCCAAGCATGGCATGGCAGACAAAGACAGCCAGGAGCTTGCAAAGGATGCAGGAGGGATGAGAACACCAAGTGCCAGCCAGTGCCCAGTGGGTTATGGGCACAGAGGTGATAGTGGCCTCCCAGACACAGAAGGGACAGGCAGAGCTGTCCTTTGGCAGCTGCCTGCCACCGCTGAGCAGTGCCCAGTGCAGGCACAAGGGATGAAGGCCATTTCTTTTCCACCCTGGTAGGAGGGCAGACAAGCCATGAACCAGCCCTGTTAAAGAAGGGGAAGAGAAGCAGAGGGACCGAGGCCCAGATGCACTCCAGTGTTYAAGTTTCCAACTCTGCTTAATAAATCAGAGCATAAAGACCTCGGTGGCAGCRTGACAGCTCTCAGCCGCCACATTTGAAGGCTGTAACCAAGCTGAAAGCTGATCCCAGGTCCCTGGTGGAWAAGCCGCTGTGTCATCTCTTCTCTGCAAGAAACTGCCTGTACAACAACCACTGTCTTGGCCGGCACGCTGCGGAACGAGCCTGGGAGCTCTGGAGTGGGAACGTGACTCCATCCAGCCRGAGCTGGGAAGCTAGGCTCCCCTCTCCCTACCGAGAGCTTTGCATAAGCACTTTTCCTGCTGAAGTGTCCTCAAATAAAATAACAACTCTGAACCTCTGCACACAGATCACATCTCCTGGTGCTGTGTTGCGGTCACCTCTGGGGAGAACATGACAGTCAGTGACAGCCACAGGATAACAGGTCAGGGAACCGAAGCGGAGCTCCCCGGTCTGAAGAGGAGCCGCTGGTTTGATGGGAGGGAGAGGCAGTCTGGCCTGACAGCGGGATCAGCCACAGAGGGGATTTGTGTGGGGTGTGGGAGGGAGGGAGAGAGGGAGGAGGACAGTGACAGAGCCCTGCTGTAAAGCTGCCCCTGCACACCCTATGGGACGTAGCACACCYGGCATGGCAAACCCGGCCATCCGGCTGCTTCTGGCAGCCCCTCCAGGATTTTCATCAGCCGCCCACCTCCAGGGACTGATACTGTCTCAAAGAGCTGCAGCACAGAGCTGGGGGAAGAGGAGGGTACTATTCCCAAATACAATCCCCACCCTGATGAATAAAGTTCAAGGAAGGGAGCTGAAAAAAACACCGAAATAAAACCCTTCTGGCAGCAGCAGAGAGCAGTGACTCATCCCGTAGGCAGCCTCCATTATTGCATGGGATGCAGGCAAGCAGCAATGAACCACGCATGCATCTCCAAAACTTTGGGGTCCCCTCCCTTGGGAAAGGCAGGGATAGCTGTGACACATTGGGAAATACCTGCCTTAAACTACCATGTTTCATGTTTTGACTGCTTTCCCATTCGCACTACACTATTCCAGCATCCTTCCAGCTATTTCTCTCCCTGTAGGACTGAAGCAGAAYGCCTCGCCTGAGCCTAGATAAATTAAACTGATCATATCCCTTTGCCCATCAACCCTGTAATTTCTTTAGAGGCAGCAGTTGGGTTTGCTCGGGAYGATCTGTGCTTTATGAACCTGCACAGCTCGCTCCCTTCCCGCTGTCGTAAGTGGCTACAGATGGAGCAGAGCTGTGGAAGCAACAGCCTGGCTATAGCCGAGGCGGTAACTCTGTTTTTAAGTCTCTCTTAAAAGGCAGTGTTTAAAAAAAAAAGTAAAATAATCACCCTTTGGGTGAAAATATTTCACACTAGCGCAGTCCAAAAGTGAATGGAGTAAATCTGAAGGGAGAGAAGGGAAAGAGCCCTTGGGGGTTTGAAGTGGCATCCAAGGAACAGGCAGGAAAACAATTTTTTTTTTTTTTTAAGAAAAGGGAAAAAAAATTCAATAAGCAAAGCTGCCTCTTGAGCCACAGTGGGTCAGAGGCAGGACAGCARGGGCAGATTTCCTCGACTGTGTTACAAGTAACCCATTGTGGAGCTGCCTAGCTGTAAACCGGCAGCTCTCCCTGCCTTCCCTGCTGCTGCCTTTGATCTGGAAGCCCGGGCAATTAATCCCAGGCAGTTTCACTTCCTGGGTTTCATGCAGCAAGCCCATGTTGCAATGCAAAGCTGCAAACAGTTGGCAAGTGCAATGCTTGCTTGGCAATTTTTTTTTTCTTTAATTCAYGGTGATGTTTTCATTAGTCACCGATTGCAAGGGAAATTTATTTTTGCAAAAATTCTGATTCTGATTCTGATTCTGGCCCCGGGCTGACCTGCACTCACCTATCGATTGAGCCCAAATGTTCAGTGCCTGGTGCCATGAGAAAAGGAACTGCACCACACATAGCCAGCCCCTCTCCCAAGTGGGATGCAGACTCTGGGGGCACTGTGGACCTCCTCCAGGGCTCCCCCATGAGCAGGGGAACATGCAACAAGGGGGCTCACTGCTCACCCCAGCACAGCAGCTTTTCTGTCTTTATGTGAAGCCAGCAGCACGAGGGGTGCAAATCCCAACAAATCCATCATGGAGCACCCAGAAGCATTTTTGGGGAGCCCCTTGATCAGCACCAAATGTCCTGAACAGTTCGGGTGCCTCCTAACCAAATGGAGAAGGGATGGGGTTGGGGGCAAGGCTSAACCACAGGGGCTGGGGGTTTGGGGTGTGAATACAATGCACTCCAGCCTGTGGAGGCATGTGGGAGCCTCTGYCCCCCTCCCTGGCCAGCAGCTCCTCCTTGTCCTCCAAGAGCTGCCTCTGCAGCTCTGCGTGGCAGGGAGTGTGTGGGAAGCGGCACAACCCCCAGAAGGGCCATGTGCTAATTAAATAAAGATAATGAGGCTGAGAATGAGATGCCAAATCAATGCTGTGGCAACTCAGCAGTAGAGCGCCAGGTACCAGCCTGGCGTATCGCCTTACAAAGCATGCCAAAGAAACTGTCTTCAGTCGGGCAGGATGAGCCCTCTGCTCCCAAGGGACCAGGATACAAGCTGCATTGTAACAGGTCTGAATGCGAGCTCTAATCTTGCCTCTGGATGGAGATAAAGAGGAGGAGGAGGAGGAGATCTTCAAAGGCCACTGAAAGTCTKGGGAAAGGGGGAGATTTACAACAGGGCTTATCCCATCTAAAGCAGTAACTGGGTATTGTTATTTATTAAAATGCCATCTGGCACTCTGGAGCGCTGCTCGCCCCTGTGGTGAAGCCTCGGTGGGCTCCCTGGGGCGGCAGAGACGAAACCCCAGCTCTGGGGGGCTGCATCCACACTGGATCCATGACACAGGGGCTGGGAGACTTATCGGTGGTGCTGGACTGCTGAAATGGGGTAAGGGAACATCCAGCCAAGAGGAGAAAAGGAGCTACAGCTCCGGCTTCTCCCAGCCCTTCTTCAGCTGTTTCCACTTAAAACACACGATCATATGGCGGAAAATCTGATCCTACARGCACAGCGCAACTTTCCCAGAGAAACGTGAGGACACCGCCGCTTCTGCCCAGTGAGAAGGCAGGCTGCCGGATGGAGACGTGCCCATGGCCCAGCATGGCTTCCCTGCCTGCTGCAGCAGAAGCTGGGGCTTGGTGGGAAATCAAAGGTGCTGGGAAAGCCGCCCCATGGGGGTCTGTCCAGCTTGGGGGATGTGGAGATGGGGCCTTGCCCCAGGCTCCAGCAATGCCTTGAGCCTAATTTGAGGAGCTCCCAGTCCTGCCTTGGGATGCCCCCACTTAGCACAACCCAGATGCCCGGCTGGAAACGGCATCACCTTGTGCCCAAACCCCACTCTCCGTGGGGAAAGAGCCAACAACATTGTGTATGGTCCGAGATCTCCCAGTCTGAGCAAGAAGGAAAGCAGCTCCCCAGGAGCACGGACCCCAGTGAACAGTTTTAAGTGTGGATGGATGCCTGGCACTGGTGTGTCCATCTGCCCCAAGTGGAGCCAGACTGGCTGCTCACAAGACTGATGCAGGGGGCTGTGGCACTGAAGTTAGGGCTGTGCTGGCAGCTCTGGATCCCCAGCAGAGACTCAGCTCTCCCTAAGCAGCCACAGCAGCATGGCTGTCAGCTATGCTGCTCCCAAGGCCAAYGGAGAGGCCAGCCTGGCCTGAGCCCCACGTCACAGGCCATCCCAAATCACATGGCCCCTGCCAAGAGCAAGGGGCCGGCGCCAAACATCCCGTCATCRGCGAGCACAAGGCATTCAGTGCTGGGGGCCCAGCCAGCATCCCACTCCCTGTGCAATGCCTCCAGCCAAGGGGAACGGCAACTTTCCTGCCCTAAACCCCAGCCACCCCAGGGCAGGGTCCTGCCTGCCAGAGACAGCTCCCAAGAAAAAAACCACCCCAAGGGAGTGCAACATCCATCCAGAMAGATTTTTCCTTATCAACACACCCGAACTGGGGTTAAACAGCAACACCAAAGCTATCGTGGGAGAGCATGGCAGCTGCAGGACCCACGCAGAACTATGTCTCAGCTAGGTTGGCTCTCCATCCCCAGTATCTCCATGTGCAGGATATGCTTCTTTCCCTYCCAGCAACAACAGGGAGCTTCAGATCCCCTGCCTTCCTGCTGCTCCCTACAACCCCTGCTGCAAGCTTTCAGCACTGGCAGGGGGAACATGCATCGGCATGGCTTCTCCCCCAGCAGAGCCCTGCTCACCACCAGGGCTTCCAAGTGCCTCCACACAAGCAGCATGAAGTCACACTTGCCAAGAACAATCACTCGCCCCAGCCACGAGCACTGCAGGAGGGAGAGAGGGAAGATGCTGGATACAGCAGCAGGGGTGAGAGAGATTCTGGTAATGCTCAAGGGCTGAAATGTGCTGGATCCCTGCTGAGGCCCATGCATTGAGCCGCAGCTCTGTGCAAGGAGATGCATCCCACAAAGGGTAGCACTGGTGGTTGCTCACCAGTGTGTCCCAGCAGACATCACACRAGTCCAGACCACAAAAGCTTTAAGGCTTCTGAGTCAAACCGCAGACCAGACCTCTGAGACACCACCCTGCTCCCTCCTCAGGGAAAAGCCTCCAAAACCAGACCGAGCTCAACACAAAACCACCTCCTTCACATCAACGCATCCACGGGGACAAAAGTGATGATCACTCTGCCATGCACTTACCTTGGCACTGTGTATCCTTCATGGTGGGCTCATATCCAGCAGCACACGTGCACGCTCCCACAGGTACCATCCACTCGCCGTCACCATTGCAGTACAGCTTTAGGGGCACAGACACCTCCACGGCGTTGGGGATGCAGGTGCCTGGTGCGATGACCAGGGAAGTGGGCTCAGCCCCCGTTAAAGTCTCCGGGAAGACAGCAAAGCCAGCAATAGTGTTGGAGCATTTCTTGTAGAAAGCCCGGACAGAGATGAGCGACATGCAGGCTCCCAGGTCTTGGAAGGCGAGGTAAAAACCATTCTTGGAGAGAGGGCCAAAGCTGCGCACCTTGGTGTTCACACGGCCAGACTCCAGCTTGGAGAAGCTCTCATCTGGGGCAATTGTATCCACTTTGATATAGGGGTTCTCCATCCAGAAAGGGCTGTTTGCAGAGGCAGAATCCGTATCTGACTCATAATAGAAGAGGTTGAAGGTCTCTTTGCAGGAGCCAGGGATGTTGGGGATGCTGTTGCAGTCCCTCACAGTGAACTTCAGCTCCACATAGACGCGCTGGACATCYTGGCGCTGGATGAATTTGGTACGAAGCCAGTTGTTCTGGTTGGCCTCCCGTACGTTGCAGACCTGGTACGTGCGGATAGGATTCATGGCCTCGTCGTAACCGCTGACTTCTTCCCACTGTGAGCGAGAGGGAAAGGGTTACATCCCCAGCCAGGGACATCAGTGCCACGGAYACATTGCAAATGGTGCAGGGTGGGGGGGAACAGGCAACAGTCAACAGGGAAGAGCAGCAGCTGCACCTCCACCCGTCACAACCCTCCTGGTCATCAAGGTGACTAAGAGCAACCCAGGCCAGGGMCCATGGCACTCCCACTCTGCTGGCACCGAGTCAGGAGGAGATGGTTTCATGAGGCGAGGATAAGCTCAGGAGGGAAGGAGAAAGATGTAGCCAGCTTCACAAAGGCACTGGTGAGCAACCATGATTGCCATGGGGCCAGGGCCAACTTTGCCCTTTGGAGGTCAGGACCAGGGCTGGCTCCAAACTTACCCCTGTCTCCGGATGAGTTGTCCATGCCAATTCAGAGGTCACCCACTTCGTGTCCATCAGGGTCTCTGGAGAGAAAGGAAGGAGAGAAAGAAGTAATTGGAGATGAAGGCCAAGATTAGAGGGAAAAAAACCAGGAGGAGTGGGGGAGAGGAAAGCTGAGGCTGACATTTCTGAGGAAAACAGCAACTTGGGGGGTGAGACATGGTGGGAGGAGGGGGGAGCGGCGCAGACAGACTCCAGATTTCTCTTCTCCTGTCAAGAGAACAGGAAGAGCGAGGCGTCCCCGGAGAGCTGTGCCGGAGCAGGCAAGCGGCAGGACAAGGAACTGGCCAGGTGGCGAGGGGGAGAGGGGGACAGGCAGCCACCAGCACAGCCAAACGTGCCCCCCAGCCAGCGGAGGGGATGCCAAAGGAGGGAAACCGGGCGCCCCCGTCCGCACCCTCCCCCTCTGCTTTGGCAGGGCGCGTATTTACTGTGGCTGGGGTTGAAAGGGCCYGTTCCCATGACAGGGCGGTGCGGGCCAGGCAGGTTTATCCAGAGGAGGAGGGACTGGCAGGCTGCTCTCCCAGAGACGCCCCACATCACTCATTTTACAAGAGGGGAGAAGAATTTGACCGTCTGGCCAACATTCCTGGAGCAGACTACAAGACAAACCACCCCGGCAGCATTCCCCAAACAGCCCCAGCCCCAGCCTTGGGGGAGCGAGACGCTTGTCTGGGAAGAGCTGCAATTGCAGGCAGCTGTCGCTAATCCCGGGCAGAGCCGCGTGGCTCCGCGCGAGCACCATGTGCAAAAACCGGGAGTGAAACACAAGGATGAGAGAACAGGGACATGCTCAGGGGCCAGTGGCCCCTCTGAGAGCTGCTGGCCCAGTGAGCCACAMTCCAGAAATGGCCCTTAGGCTGTTTGGAGGAGAGCAGGCAGCCCAGGATCCCCTGGACCCTCTCCTAGGTCTATGGGGGTTCAGAAGAAGTGGGGGCTGCAAATGCCTGGAGACTCTGGTGTGCTCAAGGGGGCTTTGCTGCCTGCACTGAGCAGGACCCAGGACCAGCGCCAAAACACCTCCCAGGTGAGGGCATCCCCCTCCCCAGACACAGACATGGCCCCATCCCAAACTCCGTGAAGCTCCCCAAGGGCTGCCCATCCATCCGTCCCCTTCTCAGCCCACCCAGGCTTGAGATGAGGGGCAGGGATACATGGCTCTCCCAGAACCAGCAGCAGGCTGGGAACCGCTCACTCTCAACAGCTGAGGCACAAGGACATGCCAGGGCAGCTCAGCTGTGCCAGCACCACAGCTCAGCCCCACAGTAARAGGCAGTTTCAGCTTCTTTCCTTCCACCCCAGGAAAACTCCAGGCTGACCTGGCCAGGGAGGAAGTGTGGAGGAGGAAGGAAGCACTCACGCATTGCAGGGTTTCGGATGGAGCCTGACTGGAGGTAAACATCTTCCTCCCATGTGCCACCCTGGGGACACCCGCCAGCAGCTCCCAAGACAAGTTGGGTGGACAGGCTGTGGGTGCCACCACGGCACAGATAAACAAGCACATCTGGGGACACGTGGGCTCTCTGACCTGCCTCGTGGCTTGCCAGGTTCCCATCTGGGCCAGTGAGCCWGCTTCTCACCCAGGCTGTTTGCCTGGAGCAAACACATAGTCCCATTGTGGGCTGGTGGCACTAGCAGTGGACAYGGCACTGGGGACAGAGAGAGGAAAACCTCTCATGGTGCCAGTTCCCCAACAGGAGAGGTGCAGAGAGGCAGCATCTACAACAGGGCACAGATGGTTACTGGGCAGTGGTTATTTGCTGCTTCTCAAGAACACAAACTAGAGGTATCTGGGAAAAACAAAGGGAGAAGAGGAAGAAGCCCTCTGCCAAGCAGGTAATGCAGGAAGTTGGGACACAGGATTGGCAGAATGGGACTGGACATCCATAAAGCATCCTTTGCTCAGTCCCATGGCACTACCTGCTCAGGGGACACAACAAGCTGCCATCCCTCTTCATTCCCATTTCCCACGCCATCAATTATTGAACTCCAGCAGGAGCCCAAGTGTGGCTCTGCATGGCCACAAGACCACTGAGACGCTGCTGCGCTTCCCAGACCCCTGCATGGGGTGGCTGCCAGAGCGGGCGGGCAGGGCCAGATGATGGGGGAGYAGGTTCCAGAGGGGGGCTGCCCACACCTCTCTGAGGGACAGGCCCCGCAGTGGCTGCCCTAATAAGGGCACAGCGGTGCCGTGAGGGCCCAGACACGCCGTGCTGGCGGCGAGCAGAGCCAAGCGCGTGCTCGGTGTTCACAGTGCGGGGCTGCCAGCTCCCGGTGCGGACACTCTGTGCAGGTCCAGCCGGGGCAGGGCCCTGCTGCTGGTACAGCCAGCTGGGAGCTGTCTCTGCAGGAGGAACGGGGAAGGGATGTCCTGCATGCTCAGGGCTGGGGCTGCTGATGGATGAGCGGCTGTGGCGGTGAGTCAGGCTGTGGAGATGGGGATCTGGGTGGCAGGGTGTGCCCGCAAGCAGAGCGACACAAGGATGCTGTGGCAAGCCACAGCATAGCTTGGACTGACCAGACCATTGGTAGGTGTTTGCTTCCCAAACCTGTCCAGGGAATGCGGGAACTCTCCTGCACAGCAGCAGGCCCCATGTAGCAAGCCCTTGCCATGGCTGTCRTCCCCTCTGGCAGCGTCCTTCCCCTCAAGTGTTGGCCGTGGGTAGAACCTCAGCTTGGACAGGAGGCTCGCTGCCTGCATCCTAATTTGGCAGCATCTGCCATCTGACCAGCAGAGGAGAGAAAAAACTGACAGAGCCAAGCCGGCTGCTGGCGCGAGAGCCACGTAAACCACACTGAGAGAGCGGGGAGGGGAAATAATAAAAAAAAAAATCACTGAGCGATTCAGCTAAAGGAAACAGGCTAAGCACAGAGGGCAGAGGGGGCTTCCTGCAGCCACGGGAGTGACCCAGGTGGGGTCAGTGGAGCCTCCCAGACCCTTGCAGCCWGCCACTGTGAAGGTTGTGGGTAGCAGGCCCTGCGGGCTTCTGTGCTGCATGGTCCAGGGGCTGGTGGCACATGCTGAGCTGGGCCACAGAAACTACTCTCTGCCATTAAAGGTGCCACAGAACTCTCACAGTGGCCTGGCCCTGAGCCTGGTCCTCTCTCCCAAAAACACTGGAGTACACCAAACACTGACACCCCATGAAAATGCACATGCGAATGCCCAGGGCTGGAGAGCCCAAGCACTGGGTTTCAGTGGCTCAGGAGCAGCTCTAGCTGCTCTCCCCCTGCAGTGCATGGTGTCAGAGGTGGGATGAGAGGTGTCACCGGTGATTTCCCAGCGTGGTTCAGGTCTGCAGGTGCTGTGGAGGGACGTGAATGGCATCAGGGCTGGCTGAACACTGAGTCAAAGCCACYTCAATCCCGCACACCACAGCAAGAGCCTGGTCCCATTAGTCAACGGGAAATTGGCTCCCAATTTCGCCAGCTTGGGGAAGTCACCCTAAGGCTCGCTTTATCACTGTCTGCAGTGCTGGGAGTTGTCCTCTCCTTACCTTCAGCTGGGCAAAACCAAAAGCAAGGGATGGAGCAGGAGCCTTGCTATGCTCAGCACATACAGCTGGCTATGGCTGACTCCACAAGCAGGAATTCCATGGTAGAGTGGGATCACAGGACAGGGAAAGATTYTTACTCCTTGAACAAGGCTGTGAGCATCATTCTGGCTGCCTCCTGCCTGCCCTGCAAGCCTCCTCCCAAGCACACCCCGAGCTGCAAAGATGAGCGTGTACCAAACAGCCCTCCCATCACCTCCACAGAGTCCCCAGCAGTTCACTAGGTGTTTGAAGCCCTGGCAAGGACCCATCTGGAGCCGGGGACCTCTTTCTCCCGGTGCTGAGGCTCAGGAATGCAGCATGCATGGTCTGAGGCCAGCGAAAACGTTTGAACTCCCCCCTTAAGAGGCCCAGAGAGCCCGTCTCGCGCTGTTGAGCGGCAGACGCGCGCGGAGCGATGGCTGAGCCAGAAAAGGGGGGGAAGTATCAAAATTCTTTCAAGATGAAGCCACTGGGGAAGACTCAATCGTCTCCACCAATAAACTCCACTTTGAACGCTCTCTCCTTTGAATACGTGGACTATGGCTTTTATCAGGATACGCTGGCAATGTAGGATGCCAGCTCTTTGCCTCGATGAAGAGAAGGCAGCTCAYACAAGTCCAGAGCATCCTGGAAGAAGGCAAGGGAGAGAAGTCAGTAAAGACGCCCACACAGCCTTGCTGCAAACAGAGGAACCTGTTCTGCAACGCACCCATGCTCTCTGGGAGCTATGCACACTGTGGCACCATGTTTGCCTTATGTGGCCACTCACCCCACGTTKAGCTCCTGCAAATGCCATCAATGGCTGGGCCATTTGTCCCAGGAAATGGCTTGGCTTCCACCATGGTAGCTGCTAACGGAGGTGCCAGACATCTCTTCCCCTTACTGCCATGCTTTTCTCCTCTAGAAGGAAAGCTAGCTTGTTTAGAGATGTACTTGAAAYCTTGGAGACTGCCTGCTAGTCAAAAAGCCACCAAAAGGGGCATCTCTCTGCATATTTGAATTTCCTTCTCGGTTTTGAAGATAATTACGGCAGGAGTGAGTGGCCTTGCGTGCTCCCCATTCAAGCACCTATCGGTACAATTAATCCCAGCACTGTTCTGAGCAGCGGCACAAAGGGCCTTTGGTGTAAGGTCCTTTATCTGGGAACAAAGAGCTGCCTGTGGGAGAGAACCTGAGGTTGCACTTTTCCCGCTGACAAGCGTTCCGTACACAAAAGCTGAGCCACAGGAGCGCCCYGTGAGCGCGTCAGGTCTGGGAGACCCCGCAACACGTTTTCTTGAAGCATGTAGCTCACCCAGATCCCTCCTCCTCCCCCTCCAGGAGGGTTCTTCCCCCCTCTGACCCCAGCTAAACCCTGTAGCCACCCTCCTCCCAAGCAGGGGATGTCCCTGCTCCAGGGCTGCACTGAGGATGCTCTCCTGTCCCGCTYAGCCCATGTGCTCTGTGGATGGAGCACACCACAGACAGCAGCTTTGGAGTGCAGGAGG